TGTGTGTGTGTGTGTGTGTGAGAGAGAGTGTGTGTGTTTGAGTGTGTGAGAGAGAGAGAGAGAGTGTGTGTGTGTGTGTGTTTATTTGTTTGTGTGTGTGAGAAAAAATATATGTTTTATATGTAAATATATGTATTTACATTTAATTTTATATTAAAATATATTTATACATTTTTAATATATATACATATATAAAAATGCCTATATATTTTTTATAATTTATTTTTAAATCACACACACACATATATATATTATTTTTTTTATTTTTTTTTCACCAGGTTTATGTGCATCTATCCGGCTTACATCAACAGTAAAAAGACATTAGCAGAAGGCAGAAGAATAGCTGCAGAGAAGGTGAGTGTTACTGCTGGTGTTGTTCTTGTTCATAATCGGAGTGTTTTTGTGTATTTGCGTCTGTTTAATCTGTGTGTGTGTGTTCAGGCGGTGGAGAACCCATCGTGTGCTGAGATCCGGGACGTTCTGACCGCCGCTGGACTCAATGTTCTGCTGGAGGTCTGATCATCAGTGTATACGTGCGCTGATTCTCTATTTAAGAGCTGTGGAATCATGACATCATTTCCTCTTCCAGAACAAGATGTATCCGCGCGAATGGAACAGAGACGTTCAGTTCAGAGGGAGAGTGCGGATTCAGCTCAAACTCGAGGACGGAAGTTTGTGCCAAGACAAGTTTGCATCTAGTAAGCTATGCATTCGTTGCATTGAATAATTAATATTGAAGTAGGGCTGCATGATTTGGGGGGGGAAAAATGTAAGTGCAATTTTTAAAAAGAAAAATTCCAGGTTTGCTCTCCTTGTTTTTAGGGCTGCACAATGTGGCCAAAATGTTGTGGTTTTACTAATTATATTAAATAATAATAATAATAGTAATAAATTACAATAATTTAAAATAATATAAAATATTTAAAATAATTAATTAAATAATATTATTTTATTATTATCATTTCCCTAATCCTAAATAAAAAGTAAAAAAAGTAAATAAGAAATAGTTCTAATAAAAACAAATACTAATAAAAAAAAAAACTATTACTAACACACACACACATACAGTGGGTACGGAAAGTATTCAGACCCCCTTAAATTTTTCACTCTTTGTTACATTGCAGCCATTTGCTAAAATCATTTAAGTTAATTTTTTTTCCTCATTAATGTACACAC